CACCAGTTCATCACCACCAGAATGTCTGATGTCTGTAGGCAAGTAAGGAGACTAATGATATATGCCAGTTGCATATTTTTCATATTGTTTATCAATAAAGGGCCAGACTATGAATTCGTTCCTTATGCAGAATGAGATGCAGAGCTGCACAGCCCCAGGAAAAAAATGACTTTGAAAAAGTACCTTAGAAATCCATCACTTTTTCCTTGTCTCTAAAGAGAACAAGTTTACTTTACAAGGTGCAGCTGTCTTCCGCCGGTGTGCAGACTCAGATCAGTCCTCATGTACAGGCAGGGAAGTGTAGTGGCCTCTCAGAGTTTACTGCTTTCTAGCAGAGCCACAATAGGGTCAGGTTGTGTAAGGCGAAATGAGGAACCCACACACCCTTTTGTCTTCTCCTGTAACAGCAGTGGGAGGAATTACACGGCAGCCTTTTAGTCTTTGAGTGTTGCAGTTTCATGGTAACTCCTGTGACAGTAACCACCTGTTAAAAGGACAATAATCATGTTTGTTTGACGAACTGCTTAGTTCACTGCTGAACTAACAGATAAGATCCGTTATGTTTGTTCTCCTGTTTCTGCCATTACTACTGGACATCAGAGATCAAGACCCGGACATTTGTTTGTTTATCTTTACACCATGTTAGCAAAGTATGAAGAAAATATAAGCCATTTTATAATTGCTGGAAAAGTTGCATGTCATTTGCAAACTGGCAGAACTGGGATGTGATAGCTGACTGAAAGTATTGGAGGAATATTTATTTTGTGAACCTATTCTGAGAGTTGGAATTTATTACAAAATATTTGCCTTCAGCTGGGTTGGACTGATCTTCCCTGACTTTGGAAAAACCCAGGCTTTTGTAAGTGGATGGGAGACTCAAGGAGGTCTAGTTAAATGTTTGGTAAAAGTTATCACAGAATCAAACAAAGTCAGAAGATTTCATTTGGCCTCCTCATTGCTGTTGCTGTTGCTGGGAATTTTGCAAGCAAAACACTCCAGTCTTATCAACTCATTAACATTGATTCTAGTCTTAATGGAACCATTTGTTTTGCATTTGGAGACATTATAGTTATCAAGCGTTTTGACTAGTGTATATAGCATGTAGTAAAAAGGCTTTTACGTAGCAAAGTTCTTTACCTCATGAACAAATTATGCTCTTTCTCCTCATGAAGGATACATGGCCCTGCTCCAAAGAATTAAGTATTTTAAAATTAAAACAATTTCCAAAGCTGACACAAATTATTTGGTGAAAAAAACCTGTTGTTTGAGAAATATTTGGATAATAAAAGCAAACCCTTGTGAACACAATAAACAAATTTTAGTTAGGCATAATTGGATTTAGTTATTGGTTGTACTCAGTCATGCTGGAATTTTTTCTCCTGATGCCTGTGTGCTCTACTCTGCTTAAGTATGATGTGAGATAATATAAAATGGTGTATTGACGGCATAAGGAAAATATTTGGATGGCTGTCTGGAGTTGCCATTATTGGCTTTAATTATGACTTGCTGTCCTTTGGGTACTAAATGAGCCAGAAAAGGCTTCATATGTGCCAAAGTATTCATTAGTATTCCCCTTTCTGTCATTGTACTTGCAGGAAAAGTTTATATCTGGCACCTGACTGCAGTTCTTATTAGCACAGACCAAGATGCTTTGCAGACTTTGATAATCATCTGAAAGTACACCGGTGTCTCTACTTTTTGGATACAGTAGAAGTTGTTCCTAGGTAACAGTGGCAGAACTCTTTGACCACTTTCTGATGTAATTGGAGAACAAACATTTTTTGCAGTCCTCCATGTGGCATGGCTGTTTAAAGGAAGTTTTGTGGTACCAGCTGAGAAAGACAAATAATTACTTGCTTCCCTCTTCCAGGTTAGGGCACCTGCACTAGGACTTTATGGGGGGAAGGTGCTTGTATCTCAACATTTTAGGCCCCTTGCCACCATCCTGTATAGCACTAATAATGGAGCCACAAAAATCTGAGCTAAAAATAGCCTTTGGAATCTATTTTGGTAATTAAAAATTGTCTATAGTGAAGTACTTTTTCTTTGCCATAGGGTGTGTCTGGGGGAGGTACAAAAAAAAAAAAAACCCTCATAAAGAATATTCCATGAACTCTTCTGACACTTCTCTGTGGAGGCTCTGCAGAGAATGGTGACCACTCCTTTGGCACCCACTCTTGAACAGACTGGTGGACAAGGATGAATTCCTGCTCCAATACATATTTACTATTGCAAAACTTAACTTTAATTTAGAACTTTGTTTGAACTGAACTTGTAGTCATGTTTTAGGCAGCCTTTGAAATGCTGGCCTGTGGGACACCAGACTGTTCTTAGAAATGAATAGTTCGGCTAAGGTGTTGTGTAACCAGATGCTCCTGATTTTGGAGACATTTGATGACATCTTCCACTTCTCATCTGTTACATTAGAGCATAACCTGGCCTTGAGCTAAGCACACAGCTCTTCTTGAACTTCTAGAACTTCAAGAGGCTGCTTGCTTTCATGGGCTGATACTGTTTCACAGCCTTGCTCTCCCTGAAACCTCAGGAATTTCAAAATCCTCACACTCCTCAGAAATTTTTATCTAGTTCATGTATGGATTTCAACTACTTTTTAAAGGTTAGTGCCCAGCATTTTGCTTTGTGCGATGTTCGTAGTGAAAAGATGTTTAGTCAAAGTGCTTCAGTAATATCCCCTGCTTGGGCAGGAGGAAGAGCTTTCACCTGGACAGCTCTCACTTGGGGCAAGTGCAGAAATGGATGAGGAGGGAGAATGTCTTCCTCTATATTTTAGAAGGATGTCCCTATATATTTTAGCCCTTACAGACCTGTTCCGCAAAACCTGGAACTCAGTTTGGGAACATGGGGTTAGCTGTGCAATAGGAAAGAGTCCCTGCCTGTTCTGTCATTCTCCTCCAGCCTATGTAGCCTAGCCTAACTAGGTTAAATAAAATACACCGCCATAGTATTTCCAGGGTTTACTTTTCAGCTCCATACAATCAAAGAATGTGCTGCCTTCCAGGCACAGGGCTATTCACTACTTTCTGGCATGTCTAGTGCAGCAGCGTTGGTCTTTATGCTTTAAAAGTCATGGTTTCAAAGATTAATTGGGGGGGGGGTGGAATTAAAAAAAAAAAAATATTTCTTTTCTTTGGTTGCTGTTTATTTCAACTATGCAGCTTTGCTTCCCCCTACAACCGCGACAGGTGGTGCTCTTGATCCTTCCAAACAGAAATTGCACTTACTAAGCTCCCGTAAGGTCAGAATTATGCCGTTCAGCACCAGCTTGCTGGTTTTAGCCCTGCCTGGCTAGTCCCAGGATCTTTCGGCTTTGAGTGAAGTGTTTTCTGTTGGTGAAAGGGAAAGGAGGAAAGAAAAGGTATTTTAAGTGGGGGCTGGCTTTTGGCAGTAAATGAAGAACAGATCAATACAAACAAAAGTAGCTGGTTGGCAAGTACATACTTAACCACATTATAGCCCAACCCAGCCCTATGTCCCAAGTTTAGATGACAAAGATGCTAGCTGCATAACCTGTAAAACATTACAGCTATTAAATTGTGTGGCTCTGTTGAAGTCATTTTGGTTGTGCTAGATATTTAAGCAGGATCACGCTTTCACTTGGGCATTGTAATTTGCCACTGCAAACACCCCAAAACTTGTAAGCAGCAACTATTCTAATTTCAAGATCTTTCATCATTTGAGAATAGCCACTTGCTTGTTTCTCAGCTGGCAGCTATAATCTGCACTGAAGGTCATGCATTTGCTGTCACCCCTTACATCTTACAAAATCTGGATCAGAAAGGCCAACAGCAGTAGAGAGGTAGATCCTCTTCTAGGTGTCAACAAACAGACGGTAATTAAAACTGGCAAGTGTCAATGTATATGTCAATTTTTTTAAAAAGGACATTTCAAGTCCAAAACCCACCTCTCAAGATTCCAAAATCCTTTGTTAAAAGTGCTTAGGAAAGCAACTAAAAATAAGCAATTCTGAGCAGAACTTCAAAACTTTGGGGAGAAAAATCATTATGAATATATGCCAGGTATCTAGTCAACTGGATTCCTACCCGAGGTTTTTTGCAGGAGTATTCCTGGAAAGGCATCTTTACCAGTTATTTCAAATTTTTCTTGTAAATGTATATTCCTTAGGCATTTTGTATTAGGTAAAAAATTACGCCCACTTGATTTATTCTAGCAACATTTAGTGCTACTGTTCCCTAGTCCTCTCCTGTATATGTATATGTTACCTGTGTTCAGCGATGCTGTAAAATAGAGGAAATTGTATGTTTTACCCAAGATGTTATTCAAATATACTGTTCAGTTTTTAGGTTTGTTTTCTTGGCATGCAGAAGACACCATTAGATGGTGCTGTTGGTGCATTAAGATTCAGCTTCACATTTGTTTTCTGGTCTGTGGTTGGAATTTGGGTTTTTTTGAAAAAAAAAAAAAAAGAGGAAAAAAAAGAACAAAACAACAAAATCCCTAATGCTAAGCTTTTATCCAAGATGTTCTGCCCACACTGAACCGGTCACTGCTTAACTTTAACCTGAACTGTGGCCCAGGAAATCCTTCAACATAAATAACCTTGGAAGCTGCCATGACCATTTTTGGAACGTGCTCCCTCAATAAATCTGTTACTTTGTTGTGCAATGTTGAAGTGTGCAGTTGTTTCTCTGATTAATTAGGGCAAAAAATAAACTTGCACGATCAATCCAAGCTGTGACACGTTTCAGCCCTGGCTAGAACATGTGGGTAGAAAAGGCCTTAGAGCCTTCTCAGCAGATCTGCCCTGGGATTTTAAGATGCATGCTTGGAGTTTACTTGATTTGACGAGATAAGGTGGCTGCTAACAAAGCCTGTAACTGAGGAGTTTCAGTCTGTCACAGAACTGCCGTGCCAGGGCAGGACTGCACACAGTAAGAAATCATTCATCTTGACCACCTGCCCCCACTAAAGACAACATAACAGAACCGGTTTATGTAATAGTGTTTATTTGATTTCACATATTACCCATGGAGAACAGCTGATACATTCTCTACATCTTTCACCAGTCTGGAATGCAAGATAAAAAAAGGTATGGAAAAAAGAGTTTAACGTTTGACATTCACTATATGAAAAATAGAGGGGATACAATGTTTTAAAATGCCCTTATGCAATATATATATATATATAAAACGTATAAAAATAAAATATATTTTCAAAAAAAAAAAAAGATACAAACAGAACATGACACCGGACAATCTTAAATATCGATACGTATCTCATGATCCACACACACCGCACTTATAATTAACAAAAACCACGTACAATTGCACTTTTCCTCTCTGTGACGTTCAAGTATGTCGCAGTCCCCGCAGGGACTAGTGAGTGTCCGATTCCCTGCCGGGTGCAGATAACGCAGAGGGTAGAGCAGATGTGGGCGACCTGTCCTTGCCGAGGGCTGAACGCGCCCCCCAAACCCTTGGGGCAGAGGCGAGGCCGGGGCCGCGGCCCCCGGACCAGGG